GTGGGAAAATTTGGCTTTTGTTAAGATTTGGAAAGCCAGGAATCCATCTGCCTCCATCAAAGGGCCAATAAGGAGGAAATAACTCCTAGACCTGTTTGTTGAGGAGGCTACTAAGACTGATGGGGATGTAAAAGGTGGCCAAAAATTGGGAATAAAGATAAGGCATGCATGACAGTTTAGGAGTACAGGAGTAGTGGACAAACCGTTGAGTAGGGCTTTGAAGGTAGCAGGCTCAAAATTTAATTCAGATAGTTTTATCTGTATTTCATTTGCTGCATCCTGTGATACAGTTTCTCTTGCTAGCTATGTTGGCACCGAACACATTTTTACATAGGGCTAAAAGACAATAAGGAATGACATGTTATTGATTAAAATGGTTGATCATACCAAGGAGAGCACATCCAGCTTTTCCACAGGCTTTAGCAATTCCAGCAATAACAGCTTCAGTTACATTGAGGTCAAGTTTTCCACAGGAAAAGTAATCAAGGAAGAAGAGCGGCTCTGCTCCTTGTGCCAGAATATCATTCACACACATTGCTACCAAATCTTGACCAATGGTATCATGTTTATTGCACAGCTGGGCAATCTATATAAGAACAATATAAACACCCACATTAGGCAATAAGTTCCAAATTGTATTTTATCCATTTGGCTAGCCACTCTTAACACCTAAAAACAAAAGAACACTAAATTCTGACAAGCTACTTGGTCTAAAAGTATCCCCTTTTATCCTCTAAAATACCGTTCCATCAAATATAACCTAAATGATAATTTGTTATTAGAAATGTACAGATATTTTATCCATTTTACATGATTTGGTACAGTTTTTTTTAGTTCATACATGTCAAGAGAAGAAAAATGTATATTTGATATACAGTAAATTTCCTCTTATCTTTCATAAAAACCCTTTGTTCACAAAGCTGTCTGATTACCTTTAGTTTAGTTCCAACACCATCTGTTCCAGAGGCCAGAAGGGGATCCTTGAAACCAGCTGCTTTTAAATCAAAAAGACCAGCAAAACCTCCAAGATCAACGTTACAGCCTGTTGCAAAGGAAATTAATTACTTGCTACATTTTAATAGATTAAACATGTAATTGTTTAAATGTCTACTAGTTAAAAAAAAATCAGTAGAGTTAGCAGCCTGTGAGAAGTATTTCTGGAAGAAATAGATGACTGGGTTAGAACAGCTGTTCTCAGAGGCCAAGTGTGGTGGCTCACGCCTGTAATCCTAACACTTTGGGAGGCCAAAGTGGGTGAATCACCTAAGATCAGGAGTTTAAGACCAGCCTGGCCAACATGGCAAAACCCCATCTCTACTAAAAATACAAAAATTAGCTGGGCGTGGCGGCACATGTCTGTAATCCCAGCTACTTGGGAGGCTGGGGAAGGAGAATCACTTGAATCCGGGAGGCAGAGGTTGCAATGAGCCAAGATCATGCCACTGCACTCCAGCCTGTGCGACAGGAGTGAGACTTCATTTCAAAAAAAACCCCCAAAAAACAGTTGTTCTCAGAGATGATATTATCAAATCAACTGGGGAGAATGTAATTATTTAATAGATTAACATGTAACATGTTAATAGGTTAAACATGCGTATATATATATACATATATATACACACCACTTCTTCATAAGAATGGTTGAAACAAGAGATGCCCTTCCTATGAGAGAATGCTCAAGAAATGATTAAGACAGTAATTAAATAGTAAAGACCAGCTGGAAGCAGTGGCTCACACCTGTTATCCCAGCATTTGGGAGGCTGAGATGAGCAGATCACCTGAGGTTAGGAGTTTAAGACCAGCTTAGGCCGGGCGCGGTGGCTCAAGCCTGTAATCCCAGCACTGTGGGAGG